TAACACCCTGTGGACTGTGGCCCGCCAGACTCCTCTGTCCGTGGAATTCTCCAGGCAATAATACTGAAGTGGGTAGCCATTTTCTTCTCCAAGGGATCGTCCCGACCCAGGGATCAAAGCCGGGTCTCCTGCTTTGCAGGCAGATTCTGTACCATCTGAGCCACCAGGGAAGCCTTCCCCGGCTTCAATTACCCTGTTGCACTGGGAGCCAAGAAACAGCATGACAGGCAGTGGGCAGTTCAAAGGCAGTGCAGTGCTGGTTTGTCAGGGGTTGACAGCTTAGCTGCAGGAGATGAGGCCTAGGTGCATGGCTCAGATAGCAGGGGTTGCCCATGTTCAGAGCGGGGCAGGGAGGATGACCAATGCAGTCTGCGTTCTGGTCACAGGAAAGGAGGTGCTCAGAGTGTGTCTGCAGTGGGGGAATGCAGCTTGCTTTGACCTGCTCTTCAGGAATCAGAGTGCACAGACCTGAGGAAAGGCTCCAAGGAGCCCCGCAAGAGAAAAGCCCAGTTGTTCTACCTAGTATTCCTCATACAAGCTTGACCACAGAAGCTTTGTTCCCCAAAGGGGTCAATATCATCCCTTGGGGACAGTCCTTGAACAGGAACTTGGGGAAGCAAACCTTGTGGATTAGTTTTGTTGTTTCCCAGCCCGAGTGGATGTGTTTACAGGGGAGAGGCCATGGACTTTTTAGGGCTAGTACGAGGCAGAGGAGACAAGAGATGCACATGAACCCAAATGAACACGAGAAGAAGCGGCATCATCATTTTGGGAAAGGGGAGATAGGGTGAGAGTAAAGAATTAGGAAATTTACACCACTGTTTTTTCCAAAGGGAGCATAAGTTTCACTGATATTTTTTTTCAGTAAACACTAAAATGTGGACATTACCAAATAAACCGGAAAACAAGACAAACAAAGAAAAAAGGGAAATCACCAATAGTATCACATCAAAGAGCTCATCCCTCTTAATGCTGTGGTACATATCCTTCTAGACTGCTTTGTTCACAGGTATACAATTGACATGTGCATATGATTGGAAGGCAAGAAACATGCTTTTTAAAAAAATTTTTTTTATTTTAATTGGAGGCTAATTACTTTACAATATTGTGGTGGTTTTTGCCATACACTGACATGAATCAGCCATGGGTATACATGTGTCCCCCGTCCTGAACCCCCCTCCCACCTCCCTCCCCATCCCACAGGGTCATCCCAGTACATTGGCTTTGAGTGCCCTGTTTCATGCACTGGACTTGGGCTGGTCATCCATTTCACATATGATAATATACATGTTTCAATGCCATTCTCTCAAATCATTCCACCCTCGGCTTCTCCCAGAGTCCAAAAGTCTGTTCTTTATGTCTGTGTTTTGCTGTCTCACATACAGGGTCATCGTTACCATCTTTCTAAATTCCATATATATTCATTAAAATACTGTATTGGTGTTTTTCTTTCTGACTTACTTCACTCTGTATAATAGGCTCCAGTTTCATTCACTTCATTAGAACTGATTCAAGTGCGTTCTTTTTAATAGCTGAGTAATATTCCATTGTGTATATGTACCACTGCTTTCTTATCCATTCATATGCCGATGGACATCTAGGTTGCTTCCATGTCCTAGCTATTGTAAACAGTGCTGCAAAGAACATTGGGGTACATGTGTCTTTTTCAATTCTGGTTTCCTCGGTGTGTATGCCCAGCTGTGGGATTGCTCGATCGTATGGCAGTTCTAGTCATAAGGGATTTGATTTGATTTAGGTCATACCTGAATGGTCTAGTGGTTTTCCCTGTCATCTTCGATTTCTTTCATCAATGTTTTACAGTTTTCTATATATAGGTCTTTTGTTTCTTTAGGTAAATTTATTCCTAAGTATGTTATTATTTTCATTGCAATGGTGAATGGGATTGTTTCCTTAATTTCTCTTTCTGTTTTCTCATTGTTAGGAAACACACTTTTTAAAAAAACAAAAATGGGATCATCATTAGACAGTTTTCAACCTGCTTCTTCACTTCACTTAATAGTTTGGGCCCTTATTTCTGTGTCATTAAATACCAATCTGTTTTTAAGGGCTGAATAGTACTGTATTCATGAGCTACAATTCATTCACTGGTGAATTTTAAGGTCATGTCCCATTTTCACTGTTAAAACAATGAAGTGAATCTCTTTGTAGATACAACCTTTATATGCTTGATGATTATTTCATCAGGATCAATTTCTTGAAAAGGGATTTCAGAGAGTACAAATGTTGGGTTTCCCAGGTGGTGCCAGTGGTAAAGAACCCGCCTGCCAATGCAGGAGACGTAAGAGACATGAATTCAATCCCTAGGTTGGGAAGATTCCCTGGAGAAGGGCATGGCAACCCACTCCAATATTCTTGTCTGGAGAATTCCATGGACAGAGGAGCCTGGCAGGCTACAGTCCATAGAGTCGCAAAGAGTCAGACATGACTAAAGTGAATGAGCATGCATGAATGTTCTAAAATCCTTGATATGTGTTGCAAAGGGCCAAATCTCAGGATGTGTCTGTTTACATCCCCTGATTCAGTATATGAATGTTACCTAATCACCTTTTAAAGAAGGAACAAGAGAAATAACATTTTATCCAACAAACCATAACAGGAAAGCTCAATTGGATGTTACGGCCAGTGATGTTACAGTTGGATGTTAACAGATCTGTGGAGATGGGAAGAGAAAAGGGTGAAGGCCAGAGAGAGCCAAGGGTGAGGGAGGGAGGGAGGTGAGACAGGACTGGGGATGAGGATCAAGGTGAAGGTCCCTGAGAGACACCTCCCAAATGCGTAGGAGAGACAGAGTGCAGCACCAACAACACACAGACACAGACACCAGCGCAGGTCTTGAGCATGAAGCAACATGCAGCCCCAGGAGGCCAGTGTTGGTGAGAGCCAGTGGGAGCCTGCAGACACGTGCACGCACCCCTCATTGTCTTCCAGGCTTAGGCAGCGAGCAGCAGCCTGGCCCTCCAGCCCGTGGGAGCTCTGATTCTAAAGAAGGGATCAGAACCACCAGTGATGGGCCCTCCCCAGCCCACCAGAGTCCCTCACCTGACTCTCACTGACACTGGCCTGGCTTTAGGCAGCGACTTCACAGAATGATCCAGCAAATGAGCTCCCTGGGCAGCGGGTGAGGAGTTATCTGGGGGATAAGTGACGGAGGTGACTCATCATCACAACCTCCGTGCAGGCACCCTACACCCAGAACCAGGCCAGGTCGCTGACCGTGCAGGAGCAGGTGGTGGACACTGCCTGCCTGAAGTGGCCGCTGCTCTTCTCCCGGCTCTTTGAAGTCACCACACTCTCAGGTAATGGTGTCTGATGTGTAAGAGGGTGCCAGTGGGCCCCCACCCTGGACCAGCCCCGACTTCACACCCCTCTTTCCTTCTGCCAGGCCCCCGACTGCCCAAGACTCAGCTGATCTTGGCTGTTAACTGGAAGGGTCTGTACTTCCTGGACCAGAAGGAGAAGGTGCTCCTGGAACTCTCTTTCATCGAGGTCATGAGTCTGGTCACCAATAGGTGGGTGCTCCAAGGGAAGCCCCAAACCTCCACCTCCCCACAATCTCAGTCCTTGAGGCTCCAGGGGAGACAGGGAGAAGGGGAGACTGGCGCACACTGCATCACACGTGTGGCATGATGGCCATTGGCTCAGGCCCCGCCATCCACTGTCCTGGGGCCAGCAATGGGTCCGCACACCACCGATTGCCCTCTCAAGCTTCCTCTAGAGCCCAGCTCCCCTGGAAAGAGGCACATAAGCTTGCAGCCTTCAGGGCTTCCATTCACTTATAGGTTCTTTCTCTTCTCACTGGTGGGTACTGCTCACGTGGAGTTGCCAGCAGTCTGGGAGAGGGAGCAAGGGACATGCCTGTGTGTGCAGGGCATGGAAGACAGTGAGGACCACCTTGCATGCCAGGAGTGCACCAGACACCCCGCCTCCAGCTCTCGTCTACTGAGAAGGCCTTCACGCCCTTTTGGAAGGCCTGCCTGTGCCCTGCCAGAGCCTCTCCTTGGTTCAGACACACCCTAGTGTGGCATGACCATCATGGTCATGTGTGGTCCCAGTGTGCAGTGTGTGTGGGGACCACTTACTGAGGCAGACTGTGCTAGGTGCTCTCTTCTATTCCAGTGAGTCCCCCCATCACCCCCACACTCTGCAGAAGAATAAACAGACGCATGCAGAGGGTAGGTGCTTAGTTGTTCAGTCGTGTCTGACTCTTTGCGACCCCATGGACTGCAGCCCACCAGGCTCCTGTGTCCATGGGATTTCCCAGACAATACTGGAGTGGGTGGCCATGCCCTCCTTCAGGGGATCTTCCCAACCCAGGAATCAAACCAGGGTCTCCTGTATTGCTGGTGGATTCCTTACCAGCTGAGCTACCAGGGAAGCCCACAGAGACTGGGTAGCTCACCCAAACTCACCCAGGCTGGAGCTCCATCTCAGCACCAACTTTCTTTGCAGTGGCCCCATGCCAGCCACCACCTTGCCTGCCCAGAGCTGACTCCACAGACAGGCTTGGCACCACCACTGCCTTTGAAGCCCATAGAACAGGACCCTAAGCTCTGGTTCATCTGCCCACGCACACAGAAAGTCCGGGGCTAGGGCAGATCCATGCTCAGCCCCAGGCCCTGTATGGCTCCAGACACACTGGAGTTTCCTCATCTGTAAGAGGGCTTCATGGTGTGATGGTTGGCACTCCGAACTCTGTAACTTGGGCAGGTCACCCCTCTGAGGCTGTTGAGGGCTGACCCAGGGGGGAGGTGAGGCAGGCCTCCGGTCACATTGCCCCCTTTCCCCCTCAGGGAGGCCCAGGGTGGGCAGAGGCTGATGCTGTCCACGCTGCATGAAGAGGAGTATGAGTTCCGCTCTCCCAGCAGCGTGGCCGTCGCCGAGCTGGTGGCCATGTTTCTGGAGGGCTTGAAGGAGAGGTCCGTGTTCGCCATGGCCCTGCAGGACAGGAAAGCCACAGGTGCCCAGCCAGGCGGGGAGGGGGCCCGGTGAGGGGCCGCTCATATGGCCGGTGGGAGGGCGGCTTGTTTGTGCCAGGCGCTGGTGGTCACAAAGCAGGCGGAGGGCAGGGACTCGAGCAGAGAGAGGGAGAGAGGCCACAAAGTGCTCAGGGTCATCCATGGGCAAGGCAAGATCAGGGCGTTCAGGAGGGGTCTCAAACCCTCCAAAGTGAAGGGCACTGAGGGATGTCCCTCTTCTGGAAGCAAGGGAAGAGCCAGCCAGGTCAGCAGCCCCTGCAGCGCACGTCATCCCCACTGCCACCCTCTTATCCAGTGCTGCAGACGAGGACTGGTGGCTCAGAGAAGGCAAGCAGCTTGTCCAGGGCCACATAGCTTGCGGGTGGGGATGGGGGTGGCGTGAGCCCTGCTGTTCTCGTTGACAGCCGCAGCTTCCCTCAGCACAGCTGGAAGTCAGGCTTCAGAAAGTAGGGGAGAAGGGAGGGCTGTGCACAGGGTCTTAACTGCACTGGAAACATCAGCAGAAGCTTTGTCCCCATGGCCCATCCCATCCTCACAACCGCCCCAGGAGGGAGGGGTGATCTTCTCCATCTTATAGCTGAGGAAACAGGCTCAGACAGGTCACTTAGCTCCTGGGCAGGCATGGTAACAGCCTGCCGGTCCTCTGTTCCCTTGGTCCATCTGCCTCACGGCTCCCTGGCCACTTCCTGGTCAGGCCTCTGAGCAGGTCTCCCCAGCTTCTGCCTGCCCGGCTATGCCTGTCCAGGCCCCCCGAGTGCCTGAACTCGGGGAATCCCACCCCCAGTCACTCTCAGGGTGGCCGTGGGCCCCCTGCTCTGTGTCCCTGTTTCCTCCCCTATCAGAGGGGACCACCCACAGAATGTTAGCAGGCCCTCTGGCCTCCACTGAACCCTGGGGAAACTGTCTTCTCTGTCTCTTGTGTGTGTCCATGTGACCGTAGAGGATTCCACCCTCCTGCCCTTCAAGAAGGGGGACTTGCTGATCCTGACAAAGAAGCAGGGCCTGCTGGCCTCTGAGAACTGGACCCTGGCCCAGAACGACCGGACCGAGAAGACGGGGCTGGTGCCTACCTCCTGCCTATATGCCATCCCGACAGTCACCAAGCCCTCAGCCCAGCTGCTGGTAACCCACGTGCTCACCTGCCCTCAGCCGGGCACCCCTGGGCACCTGGGGAAGAGGCTGAGATGCCAGGCCTGGGGTCCCAGCTCAGGTGCCCGGGCCCCACTCCCCAGAAAGCCTTGGCATCATGGCAGCCATGCCAGCCCTGCCACCCCTCTGGGAGAAGCAGGAAGTGCTTGTGCAGTGAGTGGCTGGGGCGTCACCTGGCACTCAGCAGGTGCTCAATCAGTGCGCGTCCCTCCATCCCTCCCACCAGGGAGTGTCCTAGGGGTAAACCTGTCTTGCCTCAATGTCATTTAAAAACCCTGACCCAAGGGGGCTCAAGTCTCCCTACCCCTGACAACCACTCCACCTTAACCCCCAAGACAAGCGCCGCCCCTCCAGGGAGACAGGACAGGCCTCCCAAATGCATGTATTGAGTGCCAACTGTGTGCTCTGTACCACAATACAGTCTCAAACACAGTAGCATCTCCACCCTCAAGGAGCCCTGGGACAAATGATGACTTGGTGGCAGGGGTACAGAGTGCCACCAAGAAGCAGCACTGGTTGTTACAGGAGCAAATTCTAGGATGGGGGCTTACTCTGTCCAGGAAGATTTCCCTGAGGGACAGACGCTTCCGTGACCAGGCCTGAAGGAGGTGGGGGGCCAGGCCAGCAGAGCCAGGGTGAGAGATAGCCCTGAAGAGAAGTGCCCCAGGAGAGGGGAGCCTGGTGGGCCTGAGCACCCCCTGAAGAAAAAGGAAACAGGTTCAGAAACATTGAGTCACTGGTCTTGGGTTCCACAGCAGGTGACACAGGAGGGGTAGGTCCCAGCCTGTCCAGCCCTGTGGCCTGGCCCCTCCCAAGTCTCTGAGGACACCTGGCCAGGAGGAGCCCGTGGGTGGGGCCTTCTGGATACTCATACCTATGCCCCACTCCACCCCCAGAGCTTGCTGGCCATGTCACCGGAGAAGCGGAAGCTGGCAGCCCAGGAGGGGAGGCCCGCAGAGGCTCCCCTCGAGGAGCATCCCGAGGAAACCCTGCACACCCTGGAGGAATTCTCCTATGAATTTTTTAGGTGCCCACCCTGCTTCATCCCGTGCCCCACCCCAACCAGCCCTTTGGTGCTGCCTGGGCAGGGAAGGGACCCTCTGATCCTGACATAACCAACCTGTTTCTTAGTGGAGTGCTGTGGGCGCAGAGGGCATCCCCGTGGGGGCCCACCCTGGAACCCTGGGCTCTCTCTGCACTGTGTGTGCATGGCCCATGGTGGGTAGGAACAAGGAGCAGCACACACCCTGACCCTGGCTTCCATCCCCAACAGGGTCCCAGAGAAGGAGACCATCAGCAGAGCTGTGCTGCCCCTGGCTCGAGCCCGGGGGCAGCTGTGGGCCCACTCGGCCGAGCCCCTGAGGCAGCCACTACTCCGGCGCGTCCACGCCAATGCTGAGCTGCGGGATGCTGCCTGTCAGATCTTCATCGATATCCTTTCCCGGCTGGCCTGCCCCAGCCCCACACCAAGCCTGTGGGCACCGGCCCCACGGCCGGCCCACCCAAGGGCCAGGCCTCTCAGGGCCCTGGTCTGCTCCGGAGTCAGTGAGGTGCCCCAGGGTGGCGGGATCAGCTCCAGGCCAGACTCAGGATCAATGGAGACAGGCGCTTCTCCTTGACGGCCGCACCCATCCTCAGGTACATGGGTGACTACCCCTCTCGGCAGGCCTGGACCTCCCTGGAGCTCACCGACCAGATCTTCTCATCAGCCCTCCAGGAGGCCATCCTGCAGGACGAGGTTTATTGCCAGATCCTGAAGCAGCTGACGCACAACACCAAGAGGTCTGCGGGCAGCGGGGAGGGATGGAAGGCACAGCAGGCACAGGCCCCCTCAGCCCCCGCCCTGGGGGGCCCCACCCCCAACCCCCACTTCATAAAGGCAGCCTTGGTTGTAACACTGGGGTGGGAGGGGGTGCTGGGACTTCTTGCCCTGGGCCGTGCCGCTACTACCCTGTGTCCTTTGTCACCTGGCCTCTCTAAACCTCAGTGCTCTCCTCCACAAAACGGGCATGATAGCACTCCCTCTCCTTCTTGTGAGCAGGAAAGCTTTGATGGCGTTGACAGCAGGGCAGTGGCCTCCTTGCCCATGGCCTCAGGCAGGCCTCTGCTCACATGAAACATCCTGCAAAGAGCCCCACCTTCCTGCAGTGCTGGAGGGCCCGGCCTCCGGGAGGGGCCCCTCCTGGGCTGACCTGTGCTGCCATCCACAGGTACAGTGAGGAGCGGGGCTGGCAGCTGCTGTGGCTCTGCACCGGCCTCTTCCCACCCGGCAAGGCGCTGCTGCCGCACGCCCAGAAGTTCATAGACACGCGGAGAAGGAAGGTGCTGGCCCCCGACTGCAGCCGCCGCATCCAGAGGGTCCTGAGGTGAGCCTGCCAACTCCCAGGTGCCCCCGGAACATTGGTCTGGGAGTGCTGGGGGTTGTGGCCCACCAGTCTCCCGGGATCATGTTCCAGTGGGCACACCCACCAGAGGAGCCAGACTCGGCTTCCTCTCTGAAGTGGTGTCAATCTGGGGAGACAGGGCCCGGTCCCAGCCACCAGGGAGGGAGACACAGTGAGGCCCAGGAGGGCTGCAGGGAGGCTGGAGGGGTTGGCGGGTTTCTGGCCACGAGTGGCCGCCTGGGTCATGAAGAGGCCCATGCCCAGTGCCCAGCTATATGAAAATGAGAACACGACCCACCCTGCCCGCTGGTGCCCTGCCCAGCCTGGTCCTCCCCCTACATGTGCTGTCAGAACCTCAGGGCTCCTGGGGGATGAGGCCAGGCTGGCCTCTGCCACCTCCCATGGGCCACGTGCCCGGCACCACCTCAGATCAGCTCCTCGTGCATGGCACGTAGCTGAACTCAGAGGCTGGTGAGGGGCCAGGCCTGGGTGGGTGGTGGTGGCCCGGGCAGCGTGCACTTTGCTCCAGGACAGGGCCCCGGAAGCAGCCACCGCACCAGGTGGAGGTGGAGGCCGCGGAGCAGAACGTCTCCCGCATCTGCCACAAGGTCTACCTGCCCAACAACACGAGCGAGGTGAGCCTCCCCTCCCCACCCCCAACACAGCCAGAGCAAGGTACTTCCCCACTGGGGTCACTCTAGGAGAGCTGGGCGACACCTACGGACACAGGTGTGTGAATGCGAATGGACCGCCTCCCCTTTGTGCTCTCCTAGCCCCTCTCCTGTGAAAATACAGCCCTGCTCTCACTGGCCCCCGCCAGAATGAACTGAGCGCTGGGCACCATCAGGAGTTTCAGGTCATGCAGGGGACTACTGGCCCTGGGGAGGTTGTAGTATGGTGGGGAGTTAGGATGTCCCAAACGCATGGGGGGCCTTCCAGGCCAGGCACAGGAGTGAGGAGGCCAGGAGGCTGGGCAACAAGGCTGAATTCCAGGGCCTAGAGGCCCCTTGGGGCTTCCACCCAGCCCCAGGGCCACAGTGAGCAGGGATCCCGTGAGTTGCTTATGGATGGAACCCAGCTGGTTGTTGGGGACAACGGAAGAGACAGGTGGGAGTTGGCAGTGCATGTGTGTGTGCTAAGTCGCTTCAGTCATGTCTGACTCTGCACCCCATGGACTGTAGCCTACCAGGCTCCTCTGTCCAAAGGATTCTCCAGGCAAGAGTGCTGGAGTGGGTTGCCATCCCTGCCTCCAGTGGGAGACCCTTGGCTAAATGGCAGCAGTGGAGGGAGGGGAAGTGGGGGGTGGTGACCTCACAGCCCTCCCCAAGTGAACTGCGGCCTGGAGATGGCAGAGCCCATGATGGGAAGTTCCTAGTCTGGCTGCACACTCTCAGAGCAAGTTGAAAAAGCCAGGCCTCTTGGGTACCCCAAGACAGTGAGCCCTGTGACAAAACAGTGCACACATCTGGCCAGGTTTCTAGAGGGGTAGTCTCACTCTTCTCAGGACAGGGCACGCCCAGCCTTAGCCAGCAGGGTTCAGAGGCTTATCCAGAGCTGAGCCAAGTCCTGAGGTGGTCACAGGCTGCCCCTCTGCCCAGATGCTGGAGGTGGGTGCCAACACCCGGGTGCGGGACGCCTGTGACAGCATCGCCGCCCGGCTGCAGCTTGCCTCCTGGGAGGGCTGCAGCCTCTTCATCAAGATCGCAGACAAGGTGTGTGGCCCACAGGCCAAGGGGCGGGAGGGAAGGCAGTTAAAGCAGGTGGGGGTCTCCCACCTGCACTGGGCCAGCCCCTGCCGGGGTACACAGGCACACAGGCGAGAGGGGTCACAGAGCCCCGGTGTGACACCTGGCCTCCTGCACACCTGCCTGCCTGTCCCCTCCTCTCCACCTGCCCCAGGTCATCAGCCAGAAGGAGGGAGACTTCTTCTTTGACTCCTTGTGGCATGTGTCCAACTGGGTAAAGAAGAACAAGCCCCAGAAGGAAGGTGAGCAGAAGGCTCTGGGATCCAGGCTGGGGCCACAAAGGAGGGTGTTGCTGGGATCTGAGGTGGAGCAGGACTTGTCTGCCTCCTGGGCCAGGGTCGGACAGCTCCCCCGGACCTTCGCTCATGCCCATTCATTCCTTCATTCTCCTCAGGTCCCCTGGCTCATGGGTATGACCAGGCCTGGGGCCAGGTAGTGAGGCCCTGCCCTAAGAACTCTACCAGCTCGTGCAGGGGCTGGGCGTGGGGCAGGCCTGGAACACATGGCCAGACTTTGGGGTGATGAAGGGTGCACAGGGGCAGAAGGGAGTCTGACCCCACAGGGAGATCCAGGAGTGCCTATTCATCTTGAAGGCTGAGGAAGGGCTGGGGGCCAGGGAGAAAGAGGCATGGAGGCTTTCCAAAGGGGAGGTCATGGTAGCAGACACAGCAGCAATGTGGGAGGGCCAAGTGGCAGGGCGCAGGATTGGGTGTAAGGCCTCAGAGCCTGCCTAGCCAGGGACAGGCTCTGTGCTCACTGCTGCCCCTGCCCAGGGGCCCCTGTGACAATCCCCTATCAGGTGTATTTCATGCGGAAACTGTGGCTCAACGTGGCCCCTGGGAAAGACGTGAAGGCAGACACCATCCTTCATTACCACCAGGTACCCGGCTGCCCCTCCTGCTGGGTGTTGGGGCCACACCTGCCCTCAGAGTGGGGCATGGCCTCTTTGCCCAGGGCCACCCACCTTCCGCCCAGGGCCTCGTGGTCGGTCAGGGTTCTGGAGCCAGGAGAGCAGTGCCTTGGGACAGTGGCACCTGCAGACAGTAGCTGTACCCTCACCTGCAACACGCCTGCCAGGGAGGGGAGGGCCCAGAGGGTCCCGAGCCCGTGAAGTGCTAGGCCTTGCCCTCAAGGGGTAGAGCAGGCCCGGCTCTGCAGCGAAGTGCTGGGGAGCCCTGCCCGCCCTCAGTCACCTTCCCTCTGCTGGAAACCTAACCCTGAGGACCTTATCTCTCTGCAGGCTCAGTTCCCTAGATTCTACTGGGCTACCACCTGAGCGCAAAGCTGGGGGTGGCAGGAGCCTAAAGTCCAGTTTTTCCTTCACCCAGGAGCTGCCCAAGTACCTGCGTGGGTTCCACAAGTGTTCAAGGGAGGATGCCATCCACTTGGCTGGCCTCATCTACAAGGCCAGGTTTGGTGATGACCGGTCCCAGCTAGCCAGCATCCCCAAGATCCTGCGGGAACTTGTGCCCGAGAACCTCACGCGCCTAATGTCCTCGGAGGAATGGAAGAAGGTCCTTGTTGGGGTCTGGAGAGGGGGCCCTTGCCTGCTGCCCCTGTAGGGGTCCTGCCCACATGTGACTGCGGGAGGGTGGACTGGGTCTGCCACCCACGGCCTAAGGCAGCAGCCGTTCTGGCCGGAGCCTCAGGGCCTCATGTGGTCGCCCAGCCAGGCTGTGGTCTCCACTGAGACCTCACTGGCCCTGGCTTTCCCTAGAACATCCTCCTGGCCTGCAACAAGCACAAGGACAAGACGGTAGAGGAGGCCAAGGTGGCCTTCTTGAAGTGGATCTGCCGGTGGCCCACCTTCGGGTCTGCCTTCTTCGAGGTGAAGGTAGGTTGCACCCCAGACCCACTGTCCTGGCCAATCAGGCCCCACACAGCTCTGGCCCCGGCAGCCTGAGCTTCTCCTGCAGACAGGTTATAGGCAGGGCCACCGCCAGGTCTGGGAGGGCATGTATGTGTGCATGTGTCTCAAGGAGGGGCTGTGATCTCTGTGATGCCCTCCCTCCCCAGCAAACTTCGGAGCCCTCCCACCCGGACATCATCCTCATTGCCATCAACCGGCACGGGGTCCTGCTCATCCACCCCAAGACCAAGGTAGCAGAGGGCCCTGGCAGGGCCAGGGAGGCCCCCGTGCAGGGAGGCTGGGCTCCCGTCCTCCTATACATCAGCCCTGGGCTCTGAAGGATCCTGGGCAGCAGTTCAGACCCAGGGCCCCTCAAGCCTCCTGGGCTTTGGCTGGCTCTGACCCGCCCACCTGCTGTGGCCCCAGGACCTGCTCACCACCTACCCCTTCACCAAGATCGCCAGCTGGAGCAGCGGCAGTACCTACTTCCACATGGTGCTGGGGGGCCTGGGCCGGGGCAGCCGCCTGCTGTGTGAGACCTCTCTGGTGAGCTCCAGGCCCGGGGGCCTTCCGGGGGCCCCAGGCCCTTTTCCCAGCCCAGATGTGAAGCACCCAGAGGCTCTGGACACTAGGTCTCCCACCCCTGACCCCCTGATGCCACCAAGTGCATTGCTCATGGGAGAGCCCAGCTCCCACACCTGGCACGGACAGGCCAGGCTGGGCTGGTGCACTCGATGGAGGTGCAGTGCAGGGAGGGCGGGGCGTGTCACTCGGGGGCATCGAGGCCTGGCAGGGGGCTCTGTGGTCCTAGGAGGGATGAGGACTCGGGGCCCAGACACAGTCCTGCTTCTCTCGTCACCACGTCTGCCTGGGGTGTCACTGAGGCAGAAGCTGGGCCCCCCAAGCCCTGGTCCATGCCCTGCCTAACTGTACCCCACCTTCCCCTAATGCAGGGCTACAAGATGGATGACCTGCTGACCTCGTACGTGCAGCAGCTGATAAGCACAGTGAACCGGCAGCGGGGCCCCCGCAGCTCAGTCTCAGGCCACCTGTAGCAGCAGGGTCCTCTGGCCCACTCAGCCGCCCTCCACAGTCAGAGGTCCCTGTGGGGCTCACCCAGGGCCCTCCTCTGGGCCCGAGGCCTGCCCTCTCCCCAGAATGCCCCCTCCCACCCTCTGGCACCCCAGTGGGTCTCTCCCCTGGGTGCTGACTATAAGGGGCAAAGGCAGGTGCCCAGGGCAGCACCGGGAGTGATAGGCCTCACAGCTGATGGGTGCATGATGAGAGGACCCCCTAGAAATGTTCAATAAAAGTTCATGGAGCACTGGGGAGTGTGTGTCAGTGAGAGAAGAGGGTTGTGGGTTAGATGGGCCGGAGATCCAGGAGGTGCTGGCCAGGAAAAGTTCCTTCTGTAAAAAGCAAAAAGCACTATGATCCCCCCAGGGACAGGGAGGACAGCTTCATCCTCAGAGAATGACTTCCGTCGTGTCTCAGCTTTCTTTCCACCTCCTTCCCTTCCTGCTTCTCAGACTGGGAAGGGACTCACTATGGGCCCCTTGGCACAGCTTTCCTCCTTCCCCATCAGGACACTGGGCACAGGAGGCTGCCAGGGGGGTCTGCTGGAGGAGCTGTGGGCCCCTCTCCCCACACAGAGGAGGATCAGCACGCAGGGCCTTGGGGCCTGGGCTCACCCTGGACCCCCAGCCGGCCTGTCCCCCGACTCCACCTACGGGGCCAGCCCTCAAGGACTGAGGGTCTCTGCTGACCTTTTCTCCAGGCCCTGTTGCAGCCTGGCCCTGGGATGCCTGTCCAGTCTGGTCTTTGTCTTTCTCACACTGCAGCAGCACATCCACCCTGATGCCACAAACTACACAGGCCCTGGGGTGGTGTAAAGAAGCCTTCATTCGTTGTGTGACTGTAATGTCTTTCTTGGAGGGCAGGAATGAGCCAACCACTGGAGCCCACCACCTCCTGGCTCCAGACTGCACCCAGGGAATCAGCACGCACTCCAGAGGCGGGGTGCGCAGGGCCCCTTCAGCTGCTGTGTAGGGTGAAGTGCAAGGCATGCCGGCCTGGTCTGGGTACTGGGATCCTCCTTGACTGAGTGAGCACGTGGTGGGGGAGAGAAGGACGGTTTACCAGAGGCCCCCCACCCACGTGGCCTAGGGCCCAGGGCGGCTGCCTGGCTGGGGGCTCCATCTGTGCCATGTGGGGCAGAGGCTGGCCAAGCTGCCATGAGGCCTCTGCAGGGATGGGACAGGTCAGGGCAGGCTGAGTCAGGTGACACCGGCCCCTATCTGTTCCTGGCCCTGGAGGACCTTGGGCCAAAACTGTGGCTGTGGACCTGTCATAGGCTCACCACACCCAGGCCCCTGCCCCAAGGCCTCGTGGAAGGAGGGAGAGGAGGATGCTCGAAGGTGGAGGGGAGGAGGAGGGATGCTGAGCAGAGAGACAGGAGCGAGATGCGGCAGGTTCAGGGAGCCGAAGCAGGGAGTGAAGGCTCGGGCAGCAGAAGAGCGATGTGCAGGAAGCGGCCCCAGGGGCAGGCCTCTCAGGCAGTGGGGAGGCCCGAGGACTTGGGCTGCGCCCTGCGGGCAGCCAGCTCCGACAGCTTCTTCAGCCGTTTCTTCAGCTCCAGCGGGAACTTCTCGTAGCACCGCTTACACACGGGCTTCATGTCGAACTCCACAAACTTGTTCCTGGGGAGGACGGGCAGCGGTCGGGAGGGATGGGGTCTCCTCTGGGTCCCAGCCTGGAGCACACCGCCTCCCACACAGCAGCCTGTCGCCCGCCCTGGGCGTGACTTTGTGGCCAGAGGTCAAGGTAGACCTCTGGAGGTAGGAGATGGGAGGTAGGAGGCCTCCAGGCCTCCCTTTCTGCCTAGAGACAGCCAACTCCAACAGGAGTCCCCAACAGGCTCCAGGAGCGGGAAGGGGAGGAGGCGGACACTGTGTGGGTCTCCACCCACTGCGGCTCCTCTCCTGCCCAGGGGCAGGGGGCGCTGCGGTGAGGGGTGGGTGCACCACTTACTTCAGGGTGAGCCGGCTGTTACAGGTGGAACAGGAGAAGCAGTGCACGCACCAGGCCTTGTTGAGGGCTGACACCACTGTGAGGGGCAGACGCAGGCTCAGTGACCCCACAGGTCAGCCACAGGGCCCCCTGGGCACAGGGGGGGCCAGCCAGGCACACGGCTGCAGAACCCACAAGCCCAGAGCGCGCAGCGGACAGAGGCTGGGGCAGGAAGTGGGCACAGGGACAGGGCCTCACCATCGCCCTCGATCACGTGGCTGCAAGTGTAGCAGACATCCCCAAAGAGCTGTGGACAGAGCAGGGGGTTACACACGCTGCGGGCATTCATGCCCCCGGCCCTGGCCAGGGGGATCGCCCCACCCCGCCCCAAAGGGCAGTTCCTGACATCTACCCGGGCCTCTCAGCCCTCCAAGGCCTCCTGGACTAGGGCACAGGCTGGAGCCTGAGCGCTAATCAGAATCACCGCCCCCCAAGATGGAGGTGGTGATGCTGCCCCCTCTAAGGCCCCTCTGCTGCCCTGGTATCCTGGGGAGTGTGGTCAGGGCGGGAAGCCCATTCTCTGGGCAGTTTTGCTGGGCCTGGTAGGAGGGAGGGGGGCTGCGGCACATGTCACCCCGAGAGCCCAGGACTTCACATGCCATTTCACTCAGTCCCTGCGACAGGCCTGGCCACGGGGCACATTTCCCAAATGGGGACACTAAGGTCACAGGGGCTGCCCAGGTCCCGAGACACTCAGCTCACAGGCCTGGGGCACAGCCCCCACTCAGCACCCACCATGGGACTCCCGGGGAGGAGGCTGCCCCATACCCTCTCCGGCCAGCCCGCCCTGCCTGGCACCCGCTGCCTTGCCTCAGCCCGCACCTGGTTGTAGTGGGTCTCACAGTAGGCCAGGCCCTTCTTCTCATAGTGCCGGTGCCCCAGGAACGGCTTCTCACACTTGGCGCAGACGAAGTGCTGGGGAAGGGGGCGAGGGGCGGCAATGGCAGAGTTGGGGCAGCAGCCACGTCCCCAGGAGACAGCCCAGAGGCTGATGGGGTCGGGGGCTCGCAGGACCCACAGGAGGGCCGTGGGGCCGACACCTCCGTGAGTTGCCCCTGCTTAGCAGACCTCACTCCTCGCTGCTGGGCACCTGCAGCCCAAGGGGTCAGGTGCCGGCGAGGCGCCTGCATCACAGAGGGCTGCACTCCCTCGGACTCCTCTGTCTCCACAAGCCCAGAGTCACCAGATGCATCTTCCCATTAGGGAGGCTTCTGGGTGTGATGACTCACCTTCCCATGGGGAGCTGGGGGCCAGGGGCCACATCAGGACCCTCACGGAGGGGCCACCCAAGGCAGAGCCTGTGGGACGCAGGCTTGCATGCCTCTCTTCCAGGTAGTGACTGTGAGTGCCGGAGCCCCCAGCGGAGGCCTGGAGACCCAGTGGGGCACGCCGGACCATCTTGCCCGCAGGTGGGCTGAGCTCACAGTTTGCACAGCTGTACACACAGCCACTTCCATCAGACACAATCCCACAGGGCGCCCCAGACCAATGTCCCCAAGGTGTTCTCATGACCTTGGAATCTTCTAGAAGGCCAGGAAAGGGAGGAAGGGTGGGGGTGTCTCAGGACTTTGGCATCCTCTAGAAGGCCAGGAAGGAAAGGACGCCTCGGGGGTGGTGTGCCTGCTTGGCCCTGCTCTGTGCCCTCAGGTCTCTGGGTCCCATGGACTGACCCTCCCCTGGCCAGGGGCCAGGAAGGGCAGCACCCAAGAGGAAGGTCGGTTCTGAAAGGGAGTGTGGAGGGGTTGCAGCAGGGCCAGACTTTGGCTGTGAACATGAGCTGGCCTCCCCCCCCAAGTCTGCTGTCCACACCGGCCTCGCTCACCTCCACGTGCCACTGCTTGCCCAGCGCATTGACCACCCGGCCCTCGATGGGCCGGCGGCAGGCCCCGCAGATGGGGACCCCCATCTTGTCGTGGCAGGGCAGGCAGTAGAGCTCGCCCTTCAGCTCCCGGGCCTCTGCGGTCAGCTCCTTCCTAGAAGACAGCGCAGGGCCCCCAGTGACGGCACTGCCCAGCTCCCGCCCCTGCAGACCCAAGGCAGCAGCTTCTGAACAGCCCCCCACCCCAGTTCTGCCCCTGCAGAGCCCCTCAGGCAGGCATTGCTTTCATCTCTGCTCTCTTTGGAGACTTCCTGTGCCCCAGACAGGCCCCAGGGCACGGGATTCCCGCTCCGCCCTCGCAGAAGGAGGCCTCTGTTTGGCACAGATCTGTTCCCGGCCCCTCCGCCCCTAGATCAGACTGGGCATCTGGGACACACCCGAGGGGGGGCCCTGCAGCCTCTCCCTCTCTCATCCCTCGTGCACCTCTGAGTCTCCAGTCCTCCCTGAACGGAGCCCCAAAGAGAGGAGTCTCCTGCATGGTTACCCTCGGGCCCCCATCCTGCCTGCCCCTGCACCCCACTCTCCCGTTGCCCCTCTGCCCACCTGGTCCTTCTCTCCAGCCCCATCACTGCCCTGGGGGGCTGTCCCACCTCCACCCAGCTCTCCCCCTACCCGCAGTGGGTGCAGCTGAAGTGGTCAGGGTGGTAGGCGTCATTCTTGAACATGAGGGGCTGCTCGTCGATGACCAGGTGGCAGCGCTGACAGATGTACTTGCCCAGGCCCTTGGCCTTCTCGCGGTTGTGACAGGGTCGGCACAGGTGTCTGTGGGGAGTGAGGCAGGTGTGAGGAACACAGCCTCCCCTCCGCAGCGCCCCCAGGCAGCTGGGCCACCTCCCTGGAGAAGACATCCCCGAACACCGAAGACAAAGGTCCGTCTAGTCAAAGTTGTGGTTTTTCCAGTGGTCATGTATGGATGTGAGAGCTGGACCATAAAGAAGGCTGAGCACCAAAGAATTGATGCTTTCAAACCGTGGTGTTGGAGAAGACTCTTGAGAGTCCCTTGGACTGCAAGGAGATCAAACCAGTCAACCCTAAAGAAAATCAATACATTGGAAGGGCTGATGCTGATGCTGAAGCTGAAGCTGCAATACTTTGGCCACCTGATGCGAAAAGCTGACTCATTAGAAAAGACCCTGATGCTGGGAAAGATTGAAGGCAGGAGAAGAGGACAACAAAGGATGAGATGGTTGGATGGTATCACTGACTCGATGGACATGAGTTTGAGCAAGCTCTGGGAGTTGGTGAAGGGCAGGGAGGGCTGGCGTGCTGCAGTCCATGGGGTCGCAGAGTCGGACACGACTGAGCGACTGAACAACAACAACACCCTCACCCCTACAGCCTGAACAAATGCCGGGAAGCCTTGGGGGTTCAGCCCAGTGTCCCGGAAAAGCCAGCCAACCATCCTGCTGCTGGGAAGGCCACAGGTGAGCCCCCTAAGAGGAGCACAGGACAAAGAGCAGAAGGAAGCGCGGCAGCAAGTTGGTGCTGGTGTCTTTGGACGCAAGGCAAACATGCTGTTTTTCTTCCTTATGCTTTTTCTGAGCCTAGGACATCACGTGGACAAGAACAGCTCAAAAATTCGCTTTATTTTTCAAATATCTTTCAACACATAGGAGTAACTGTACAGTGTGTTACCAGCCCACTGTGCCCAGTCGAGGAGCCAAGGAGTGCCAGGCCCGTCGGGCACTCAGAACCTGCTTCCTCAGGGGTCCTCCCAACAAAGAGGAACCCGGACGGCTACAGGCTTGCTCTGTCTCCAAAGACAAGCACGGTTGTGCTAGATGTAGCCCCCCAGACCTAGGAACTGTCATTACAGAGCCTTTTTTGTAAAGACCTCGGAGTCATTTCTGATGGTACTTTCTCCTCTGGGCAACAGCTGCGGTCTCTACTGAGAGAAATCAACATGGTTTCTGTTTCCTTGGGCCTCACAGGCGGCAGGAATTTAGATTCAGTGTCCCGGGCAAAGATGCATTAATACAAAGGCCCCAGTGCCCTGCTCCCATCCCCCACCTGCCACCTGATCTGCCAGTGCTGTCGGCATCTGGGCCTTCCTGCCCTCCCTCTTCCAGGCCCCCAACCCCTCCCACCAGCCTCCTGCCCACCTGATACCAGTGTTGGCCTCTTTCAGAGGCAGATCAAGTAAAGAATCTGCCTGCCAATGCAGGAGATGTAGAAGACTCGGGTTCTATCCCTGGGTTGGGAAGATCCCCTGGAGGAGGAAATGGCAACCCACTTCAGTATTCTTGTCTGGGAAATCCCATGGACACAGGAGCCTCGCAGGCTACAGTCCATGGGGTCACAAAGAGTCTGACACAACTGAGCATCTAAGCACACACAGGGAGTCTTCTTAAAAGATTAACTCTCAGACTCAGGACCACGCCGCTCCCACCCCGACACCCCACACCTCCACCACGCAGATCCTAGATGCCAGGGCAGCGAACTCCCTGCCCTTGACCGTAGCATTGGCCACTGCATTTGGGTCTGGACTGCCCTCTGCTTGCCCCGAGTGTGTCTTATCTCCCCAGGGCTGAAGGACAAGGGCCCAAAGGAGTCCCCAGCAGCCACCTGCTAAGCTGTGAACAGGCTCCCAGCTGTGCTCCTCTGAAGCCTGGGTGCCCCGCACAAGGCAGAGGCTCAGGATGCATCTTCTGATGCGTGAGTACATGAACAACTGTGAACAACAGGAAGGGGAGGGCAGCAGGTGTCATCTCCCCAAGACCTGACGGCCACTGAGACTGGAAGGCCGTCTCCTGGCCCGGGACGCCTGGCTCCCTCTACCTGCCCAGGGCCCACAGTTGTGGCCTGGGCTCTAGTCTCCATCTCCTGGGCAAGGCTCTGCCCCCCTCCCCCGCAAGGTCCCTGAAGCCTGGTGGGCTCTCCCCACCCCACTCTCCCTAAGACACCCTGTGCCCAGCCCCATCCCAGGTCTCCTGCCATGGCACAGCCTCCCCACGCCACACCTGCCACCTGCTATGTCTCTGTCTCAGAGAGTGTTTATTCCCCACAGCTCCACTCCAATTTTGATGACTCCTCTCAGCAGCAGGACAACATTCAACCCATGTGGAAAGATTTTCGCCTCAAAGTTTACCGAAAAGAGCACAACTCCTCAAAATCTGGTTGCAACACTCAGTGCCCTTAAAACCACGGTCATCAATCATCCAGAAACAGACATCTGCACTCAGGGAAGCCAGCCAGATTCCCATGTTTCAAGCCACCATGAGCCAGTTCTCCCAGACAGCTACCTTGGGCCACAGTGGGGAGGGAGCCTCACACCCCACCAGCTCCGGGTCAAGACAGAACTGAGGAACCCTGCTCTCTCAGAGGATCCCCAGATGAGAAATATCTTTTCAACAGACCTGATCCCAGCACCAGATCTAAGGACAACCTGCAGAATTTTTCCAAGGTAGAATGAAGATGGAACCTAGGAATTCTACCATTGAGGTGCAGCACAAGAGAACAAGACGAAGCACATACACATGCAGCCTAAGTTTTAGAGTCACACATGCTTGAGTCCAAATCCTGGCTCACTGGTTTGTGGCTGGCCAGTCAGGTCACCTCTCTGAGCCTCAGTTTCCTCATCTGTAAAATGGGCAGTAATCCCAAGTGCACAGGACTGTGTGAAAGAACCACTTCAGAGAGTACTTGTGGAAGGTCCCTCCCAGTGATAGCATGTATATCTTTAAACATCTTAACCAAAAAGTTGTAAAGTCTTTTGAAACTAGAAATAGTGGTCTGGTGCCCTGTGCTACTGGGTGTATCATTTTGGGAAAGACAGAGAGAAACAACTTTGCTGGAGTAGCCACTGTCGACATCCAAACAGCCACCCGCCAGACTCCCAGGAGGAGCCTTGGAGGAGCAGGAGGGGGCAGGCAGCAGTGGCCCTCTTCCCAGGCCTCCTGTCCAGAGGAGGAGCCCACACAGACGAGGGCCAGGCCTCCGGGTCCCCACAGGCACAGACAGCGCCCCATTATGAGGCAGCCTGCAGCTGGGCCCTGCTGGAGATAAAGGCCATGATTTATTCCACACACCCAAAGGGGGCCTCATTATACAGGGCAGGACACAAGGACCCTACAGCTAGTATCCTGAAAGAATCCCCTCTCATTTGACCAAACAAGACTCCTCGGTCTCCCACCCTTCCCCATTCACAAGACCCCCTGCTCTGCTGATGGCCAGTGCAGGCTTGGGCGCCCAGGCCCGTTGTCATGGCAACCAGCCCCTCCCTGGCCCCCTCCCCGTGGTAGGAAATTACCCTGTTCTGAAACATCCTGTTGTCTGTCGGTCCCAGCCAAGACCCCCACCCAGCCGGCGCCCACTCCACGGCTTCGTAGATAGTCACACACTCGGCCTCTGTGACGCTCGGCGACCCAGCTGGGGGCCGAGGCGGGGGTGGGGGAGCTGGGACACACTGGAATATTCACAGCCCAGCGGCAGCAGGGGCAGCCAGAGGAGTGGCCCGCCACACAGGGGACCCCTCAGGAATGAAGCAGCCTTTCAGGGCCCAAGGGGGTGCAGCCTCCCTGCCTCTCCTTAAATAGCCAGCCGGCCTCTACCACAGCCACACGGAGCCACCACCCACCCACAGGCCGCAGCCCACCTGCTGCCCCAGGCCCGCTGTGAGAGGTAAGGGCAGGGCTGGGGAGTGGGGTCGGGGGCGCGGGCAGCCAGCGCGGGCCCAGCAGAGGCAGAACAGGGTAATCTCGGCCATCTCGCTTCAACCTATTTATCGAGGCCTCCCTGGTCTGAATTAGAGCAGCCAGTGGGCGGTGCTCCTGTCTCACTGTGGGGGCTTTTAAAGGAAGAGTGGGTGCCCAGGCTGTGGCCCCATGGCTGCAGCGACAGCCCCCACACTCTTCTCCTCTAGCCAGGGCACCTGGAGGGGCCCAACGAGGAGGCAGGAGGGACAGGTGCCGGACACCAAGAGACCGCCTTCCACCTCAGCCTCCTCCCACTGCACGCCCACCCACGTCCCCTCCAGAGGCCGAGCCCTGCACCTGCTCCATGGTCGGGGCCCCCACGCCCCCCAGCCGCCCTGCCCTGAGCACAGTGAGACGTCGAGAGACCGTGAGAGCAGGCATTTCTAGGGACACGTGGAGAGGAGCAGGAGCCCCCCCAGACCCACTGCAAAACCAGCATCAAAACTTGTAATGCAGGGGCAGGGTGGAGAAACCGCAGCAAGCCTGACACAGCCTGAAAGCATTCTGAAATCAAGTCTGCACCCAGAGAGAGCATGGTGCATGCGGCCTTTAGTGGTGGGGTTCAGAAGGCCCTGGGAAGGAGCAGAAAGCGGGTGCCAGGCAGCCCACAGGGTGCCCCCTGTGCACACGTCGGGCGCCACGCTCAGTCCACTGCTCTACTGCCACCATTTGGAAAGTCTTGCTTCTTGAACAAAGGGTGGTGCAAATTGTGTCGCTGTTCCTGGGGCCAGGCCCCCGGGAGAGGCGCTGAGCCTGGGAGACCGCACCACACAAGCCTTGGAAGCAGGGACCCATTAGCCCCTGGAGGAAAAGCAGGCGGAGGTGTTGGCTGTCACTGCTGGGTCTTCTGGATCTGGCTTCCTACTCCTGGGCTATTGCCCTGGCCAAATGATCCTGGACAAGTTAGCTGATGTTGAACCTCCATGTCCTCATCTGTAAAATGAGGCAGCGGACATCTGCCCCTGAGGACTCATGGGCAGTGCCCAGACAGGCCTGCCTCACGCTGGGCAGAGAAGATGGTCAGTACCTGTGAGCAGACCTCATAGAGGGGCTGGGTGATGACTGTAC